TCCCATCCTTTTTATTTTAGAACAATATATTAATATTTCTAGGAATTATAGATTTATTTAAATTGAGAATAGTGTGTAGATATTTCAAAACAACGTAATAATATTCTGATTGATTGTTAGAGTTGAAAAATATTGGTATATTCCTTATAAGAAAGAAATTATAAAGTATGAATTAGCAAAAGAGTTAGCTTACAATAATGAAGCTTATAAAAATATATAGATTCCAGCAGAAAAACTTAAATAAAAATTAAGAGCTTGTATTGATATGATAATGAATTTCATTCATTGGGATGATTTACATCAATAAATAGAAGCTGATTAACTTGATATTGATGCTTATAGACCACTTATTATAATGCTTAGATTATTTAATAAATAATAGGAGATATGCTATCCCTCTTAAATTAATGGTTTATTTAGTATTGCATAATTAGCAAAGAATATTAAATAATAAATTAATGATTACCTTAATTTATAATTTTTACCTTTAAGTTTTAAAAAAATGAGATAAATTTAATAATAGACATTATCAGCACCTGAATTTACTGTTGGAGGTGTAATTCATGATGAATTAAGTTTGAGTGAATTACTTACATTTTTACTTTAAGCTTTATATTTTCATGGTTGGATGACTTAAATAATTACAATCTATTAGGTAATATTACAAAAGAGATAAAAGTAAAAATATCATCTATAAAATAGGGAACTATAAAATTTAGATTACTAACAAAATTATAACAACGATTTCTTAAATTAAGCATTAAGATATATTTACAAAATAATTGCTTTTTCACCTACCAAAGATACTTAAGAATAAATTGAAATAATGATGAAAATAGTATTATTATTTATTATATATATAGAGCTATATATTATAAGAGAGTTTAAAGAAAATAAATTTTTGCCCTGAGGCAATTCCAAAAACTGAACCTTCTGGTATTATCTATCAAGGGAATGATGTTATCAAGATTCATTTAGATATCTATTTCTAAATTGAAATATTATCATATATTTGTTCTCAAGATAAATAGTTCTTTGAAGATGAAACTGATTTAAATATATAAAATGAGCAGAATTGATAAATATCTTATATATAGTTTAGATTTGATTAATTTAAGAATTGATTAATGATATAAAATATTAAATAGAAAATATCATATTTAAAAAAAAAAAAAATTTTGTAAGCATAGACAATAATTAAGGAAGGACTTAAATATTTTTCATTCCTAATACATATTCAAATGAAAGGTATTTTCTTCTCACCTTTATCATATTATTAATTTTCAGCAAAATGAGAATCATTCATTCAAAATACATATTTTTTTTTCTCTAATTGCTAATTAATAAAGACCATCATCAAAAATCATTAACATCTCTATTTGGAGATTAATATTTAAGTAAAATCTTCATGCTTTGTTATTAAAATATCATCCCTAGACAATTCTAAATGCTCCCTTATTTTGGACAAGTAGTTCAAAAAAAAATAAATCATCTATATGATCAAAGGGACTGAAATAACAGAAAGATTCGAAGACATTATTAATTACTTAAATAAGTAGTTAATGTGTCAAATTAATTAGAAGTCTACTTTGAGATCATTTTTGATTAGATTTTGATACTATGTTTCTTTAGAGAACATTAGTGTATAATTACTTGTTCAAATTATTTTTTATGTAAAATATATCCATAAGTTCTAAAGGCTTGAGAGGTATCATCAGTTGTAAATCTTATTGGTGCATTATCACAAATGCTATCTTTACATGTTCTATCCCAAAAACAAGGGTTAGTTTTAATTTATTCCAAACGCATTGAATTTCTAATGTTTATAATTGCGATAATTTCCACTATACATCCACTTTTAATTTGTTACAAATTTAGCCCGGTAATCAATCACAAGGATTAGCATCAATACATGTATTTTTAAGGTATTTCAATAGCAGAAGTTTTCTGTGGCTTTCTTATATAACTTTTAAATAAAAGAAAACTCTTCTAATATTCTCTACCTATGTGATTACAAATCTATTATTTATCAAATATAAATCTTTAAATAAGAATTAGTCTAAGTTATTGATTAGTTTAACTTTTTGAAAAAAATAAAATAAATATAATAAAATGCATAAACTTCATATTTCTTTTTCTTAAAAGTTCTCTGTTTTCATTCCATGTTCATATTTTCCTGTTTCAATAAATTTTTTTGTACTTAGTATTATAATATACTAATACTTGCTAAAATATTCATGTAAATCAATCCAATATCCATGTTTCAACCCATTTTAATCATAATCACCTCCTCCACTAATTTATTTTAATATATTACATTTTTTTGTAAAATGAAGATGAAAAATTTTTTAATTTCGTCTCCCACTTTCCATATTTCTTTCCATTATAGTATTTTCCTTGATAGTAGACTTAACAATTCCTAAAAATTGACTTAATTAAATACGGAGAGAAATTCTCATGCAATTCAATCCATTATCCCTGCTTGATACCATTATTATTATAATTTCCACCACCACTATAATAATGACATTTTTAAACATCTTTAGTATTGTTTAGCTATTTATTAAATATGATTATAGTTTCTTTTCATAACAAATCCATTCTCCTATCTTACTACCTGCTCTATATTTTCCTGAATAAAAGATTTATTAAGCTCTATCTAATAGATATATTAATACTTGTAAAATTTCTAATTAGGTTCAATCCATAATCCATTTTAATTCCCTTTTATGTCATAAGTACCCATCCCACTAACTTAGAAAAATTTCTACATTATTTGATCATCAAGCAAAATTTCCCAAACACCCACTCTCTTTCCATTTATGTACTCTCCATTTTCAATAATTTGAGATTTACTTTTTTTTATAAATATAGATAATATTACTCCCAAAAATTAATATGTAAGTCTTTCCATTTCTTATCCTTATTACCTTCCTAATTGTATAGCCCTCCAACATTTATTGGCATCCCTTTCCATTTCGCTTTCCAAAACCTTACTTTCTATTGAGAAACTCCATATTCTCCTAACCAACTTAAAAAATTTATTTATTCAATATTCTTCATTATTTCATTTTCATTTAATGGATTAGATATCTTATCTCTATTTATTTTATAGAATATTTACATCCTTATAATGATTCCATTATTAATATATTATATCTCTCCTTGAGTTGTGAATTTGATTAAAAAATATGTTTTTTACAAGATGCCTTAATAATTATGTAGCCCTTCAATCACTCTAGTGTTCTCATTAAGTTATTATTCATTCTTAATTACTAAAATTTAATCTTTTTGTTACATTTTAATTTTCTTGCTTCGATTGATAAATCATCTTTGTCCATTTATTAAGATTATTGGATTTAATTCTATAATAATTATTTATTTTATTCTTTATTATTTTACATAATTATTAAATCAATTCAGTCTAATATGTGTATGAAAATTAATGTTAATGTTATCAGAATTCTTTGTGATCAACCTCCTTTAACAAATCATCTTAACATTTTCATATAACTTAATTTCATTTTTATAATTCTATAACTTATGCAATAAATTAATACAAGAAAAAATATATAGAAAGCATCAAAGTAAGTTTAAATACAGAATAAGGCTATCAAACTACAATAAATAGTACGCTAACAATATTACAGCATAGAAACTCTACCAGGTTTAACAGAGATATTTATAATTATACAATTAGCTATTGATGGTTATCAATTAATGTGATTTTAAATGTCGAAGTATTAATGAACAACTCTGAATAAACCATCTCATCATGAAAGTCAAAAAAAGTACATAATTGCGATGTTTCTATCGAATGACTATTTAGATCATCAGATAACTTGTTTAAATATCACTGCTAATATACATTCAACGGATAACGGCTAATGTAGATAAAAAAGTAATTGGAAAAAATAAATGGATAATAGATTTGGGTGACTTGTACATCAAAAGATTATAAGTATTATAAAATTTGTAAATTATAAAATCTTTATGAGAACTTGTTTGTAAAAATAAAATTATAAATTGTCATTTTTATTGATTTCTTAACAAGTTGGTTTTGGAAAGGTAAATTTTTTTTTTATTGATTAATGCAAAATTTTTATGAGAACATAATAATAAATTTTGTTTTTCTTTTATCATTGACCAAATTTTATATTGAATTCAATCAACATAAACTCTTTTCAAAACAACTTCAATCCATAATTTTCAACATTCCCTAGTTTAATATTAGTTTTAAGATCAGTTACATATCTATTTTAAATTAGATTTGCTACAATAAGAGATAAAGGAATTGGATAACTTTCTTCAGAACATGCAATCAACTAAATGGCCTTTTGTAATAACTCTTCCCTTTTTATTCTCTCCAATTATAATCCTTCTTTTATATCTTTATTTCTTTATTTCTTTATTTCTTTATTCCATATCCTTCTTATTGCCTTATAAATTTTATTACAATTCCTTAAATGGAATATTCTAATCAACTGATTTTGGTTAACCATTTAAAATCTTTTAAACTTACTCTCCTTATTATTCAATCTATGTTTCTACATTAGACAGAAGAGAATTTTATTCTCATAAATAAATAGTGACATTGAAGATTTAAATCATATTTTTTAATTCATAATCAATAATAATATAAATATAACACATATTATATAATAAAGAAATAAAACTAGTTTTTTAAGTTATCTATAGGTTTAAAAAAATTATTCATAGTTATATTTTTAGAAGATTAATTATAAAAAATTAAATCTACAATAATTTATAAAATTACTTTAAAAATTTTAAAAGTGTAATGCAAAATTTACAATTAATAAAATTTTGATAAACATTCTCTTAGGTGTCAAATTAAGTTCCAAATAAATTAAATTTATTTAAGTATTCATCATTTAACAATTTTTCTTTTAAAATTTAAATATATTTTCCTTAACAGTTTTCACCAATTATCAAGAATATATCCTAATTTGATATCTAAATTGTTTGATGTTTTTGCTTTAATTATTTCTCTGAAAATTTTTTAAAATTACTCTTATATATCATTAAATCAGAAGTAAATGTTTTAAAGTAGTTTTCAAAGTCTCTGTTTAAGTCTTAGAAATTAATTATCCAAAATATATCTCTAATCTAATCTAATTTAAATCTTTTTCTTGCTTCGTTTCTAAAAATAAATTGAATTCATAAGAGCAACTTATAAAAATAATGGCAATTAGAAAACTATTTAATGGTTGAGGGATCAATTCATTAAATTTTTGTTAAACAAAATCGTCAATTTTGATTAACAAACTTTTCAGATTTTCTATATTTTCTTAAGATTTTTGATTTTCTTTCTATTCAAATTCTTCTAGTTATGGTTTGAGTTTGTGAAATTTGGCAACTTCGAATTTTGATAAATCATAAATTTGATTTGATAATAAAATACGCTTTTTATAAGCTTCTAAAAATTGCTTAAAAGATGTAACTTGGTCATCTTTAACTATTTATATCATTGCTTTAGATGGTTCCTTAAAATAGGACTCAAAAGATTATATAATTCTTTAATGGATAATGATTATTTCCTCCTCATTAGATTTAAAAGTATTGATCAAATTTTCTAATATTTTCATATTCATAACTTGCTAGAATGATTTCATAATCCTACTATTTTTTTTCATTTTAATTTTTAAATTATAATTATTTAATCCCAATTGTTAATATTTGATGTAAGCTCTCGATTTATAAGAAATTAAGAAAATAGTACAAATTTTTTTGCTAAATTTTTCTAAAAAAAATCAGAAAATTATATGTCGAAAAAAGCACTGATTTCTATTATTTTTAACATAAACTCATCATTACTTCATTCTTACTTTATGGAACAGTATAAATTAAATTAGTTTATTCCATTAAATTGATGATTAATCTTTTTTTCCTTTGAAGAAAATAGATTTATTTATAACTGGTCGATAGGCAAGAATATCCAACTGAAATGTAAAATTCAATCTTAAGAATCTAATATATGCTAAAGAAAAGCTTCCTTTAATTGTTAAATTTATTTGTAAACTGGCTGTTTAGACTGTAATAATCTTATAATTTACCATTTAATTATTTGAAACAAAAAATAGTTTTAATAAGTTACAATAGTATATTAATGTTTTTCGATTCATTTTTTTTAGAAGATATTAACCACCTTCGATTAATTTTTGAAGAAGATCCAATGATACGATTGATTTTCCTAATTCTATAAAGAAATTAATTAATCTATCCTTTCCTTCAGTGGAATTAGTTTAAGAATTCATAATCATAATTTTCATCATCGTTATCTCAAATTCAATTCCAGTTTTCCAAACATTACCTTGTTCGATCTCTAATTATGTATTAAATTTGATAACTTTAATACGTAATAATATCTTCCTTTAAAAATCTTTAAGGGTTGGTTAATTAAAAAGCATAAAGAATCCTTAAAAGCTCGTTAAAAATTTATAAAATTTAATAACAAATAAAACCAGAACTTCTTAAGTATGTTGTAATGACTGTCAATAAACTTTCAAATTTCTCATATATTATTTCATAATTTTTGCTTGTTTCTCTTATATCAAAGCAAATATAATTTAAATATTCTTTATGATGAATAAACCATTAAACCTTCATTAACACTGTATTTCTTAACTGGTATCACCAATCAATCGAGCTACATCTATTATGAGGTTTTGGGAATCATTAAGGTTAGTTATGAAATTTTCAGGTAGTTATAATGAAAGTATTAAATTTTAATTACCTTCTATTGTATTCTGAATATTTTTTCTTTAGACTTTCCACACCCACCTCTTCTTGTTGTAAATGGCTGTTTTAATTAAACTTAATAAATGAATTTAAGTTATCCAAAGATGAGGTAAGATTTTCGTTTTTGCATCACTAAATTTATAGACCTAAAGTAAATCTTTTTACTTTATTTATCTTAATTTCTCAGAAGTTTGTACAAGAAAGAAGCTTACGTATTAAATTAATTAAAAATTTCTATAAAATGTATGGTTATTATATAAAAAAGATTTGACGATTTTTAATTTGTTAAAAATTAATATTTTTTTTTTAGTTATTATCAAGCCCTTAATTAATATAAATAAGTTTGCTTGCCTTTTAGAGAAGAAAAAAAGAAAAGCAAATAAATTATGTTCAAAAACCCCCAAAAGTCTTTAAGTATTTCATCTGCTTCTAATAAATAAATAAATAAGAATAGTTGGTGATGTTATATTTATGTATGATCAGTCGAAATTAAGGTTATCTATCTGTTGAAAAAGTTGAAATGTATTTGCGCATCTGTGTTTATCTCCAGTCACCTTTTTATTTTTTCTCTAACTTTAAAATTTTCATATATATAAAAAATTTTTTTTAAATATACTACCTCTTCTTATTGTTATAATTTTTATATTATAAAAACTTAATTTTTATACATCCTGATATTCAAAATATTAATCTCTCTATACAATTCTGTGTCACATATCGTAGATATAATAAATTAATAATATTTATTTATATATGATTAGATGATCTTGAACAAAATATAGTCTTTTTTTATTTAATTTATTATCCATTTTCATGTACAATAAAGTCAAGGTGTATCACAATACTTTAACATTTCGTCCTTTATAAAAACTAAAACAATTTAGAGGTTTTAAACGTTATTTGATTATTTAAGAGAAATTCAAGATGGTATCATTATTAGAAAAACTTCCTTTTTTCATAATATAATCTTGTGATGATATTAGCTTTAATTGTTGAAGTTATCTCTGTTTAATGAATTAATTTTTGATTATAATTATTGGATCAAATATGTTATTTAAAATCTATTTCGAATAAAGTTTGAATTGCAATCTTAGAGACAATCAGACCATATTCCCCAATAACTTCCATATTCAATAAATGTTATTTAAGAATATTATTTAATATGAGTAATATCTATAGTTATTGAATAACACCATCAAAAAAAGCAGAACATCACAATTATTAGGTTAAGTCTATTCAAATACAATAACCCTAATATTCCTGTTTTTTATGATATATTGATAACTATATTCTTACACTCTAGAATGTGATGGATGACAATAATGGCTTCATTACTTGAACATAGACAAGAATTTTATGTTTCATAAAAAGTTAAAAATCTAAAGTTGAAATAAAATGAGATTAAACATGATTGTGTTTATATGATTTGGTAATTAACAGAAACAATAAAATGAATTATTCCGTTTCTGTATTAGATGTCATCAATTAAATAAGCAAATAAATTTCATTTCAAAGACTTTCTAGCAAATTTGTAGGGGCAGAAGTAGTTGATTTTAAATACGAATGTTCTACTTCCCATTAAGTTTTTGGAATGCTGAGCTATAAAAACCGCATTTAGAAATATATTTATCTTAAGAAGAAAGTATGTTTGTAATTTCAGCAGAGGACTTGTTAATCTCTTACGGTCTTCAGTTATATAGAAATTTGAAAGCTTTTTCTACTCCATTAACAGTTTTTGGAAAGAATATATTATTTTTTTTTTAAGAGATTCTTACACTCTTTCAATTTGTTATAATTGATTGCTATCTTTTAAATTCAAGTGCATAATCGAGCACATCATTTATAATATTAAAGGCTTCTCCTTCTACTGTAATAGATCATTTAACCTTGGATCCAATATTAAAACCCTTTTGTACAGTATCTAAAGCTTTTTATGAATTACTTTAAATCATAGCATCCTGTTAATTTAATAAAATTTTGAAGAGATCTGCTGCATTGCCTTATAATTTTCAAAATATTGCTTTGTAATAAATAAATTAATGCTTATTTTTTGGTAATTAAAGTAATTTTATAGATTCTTATTTTTGAAATTCTATCATCTTCTAAGTTACTTATTCTTTAAGTGTTTAAAGAAAATCTTAAAAAACTTAGCCTATAAAACTCAATCGACCTTAATAAAATTTTTTAATATTTCATCCAATTTCCTCATAATAATATTCCTATTTAATGAATATTTCTATTACCTCTGTTATAATTATTTTAAGCATCATGAGGTTCTAATTTGATTGCCTTGTTATAATTTATTAGTGCCATATCTTTGTTTCTGATTTTGTAATATAAAAGGCCTATTCTTGATTATAATTTTTATTTATATGTTTATTATATACTTTAAAATAATTTAGATTAAATCATAGGCTTTTTATATTCTAGGAGTGTCTATTGTTCATTAACAAATTTTCAAAAAGATTTCCTATTAAAAGTAATATATTTATTACTTCTATTGTAATAAGAATTAGACTTATTAGCAACTAGTGCTTTGTTATAATCTAAGAGTGCCTCGTCTTCATTCCTTAAATTTTATATAAATTTCCTATTCATCATAATATTATGATACCTTTGTTACAAACGACAAAGTAAATTTATCATCAATTCAATCACTTATTTTAATATAGTAAAGCATTATCTTAATTTCCAATTGCAATTTTCATGATCCTAAATATAGAGAAGACCTTTAACTTATTATAATATAAGCTAAAGAATATTTGGTATTAATCTTAATACATTTTTTGCTATCATTTAAAACTTCCGTAAAATTATTTTTTCTAAAAAACCCCCAAGCTAAATTTATACTAAGCTTACCTCTTAATTTCAAAGAAAAATTGGTGCATTTGGGTTTTTGTGTGTTTATTTATAATTTTCTTTACTAGATAAGAAGCTGACAACTCTACCTGTGATTGGTGTCAGAGAGCTAAAAATTTG